AGAATGAGAGAGAGAGAATAATATCTCATTAAAATTAAATGAGGTAGATTAGATATATTTCAGTTGAAGAAATTAGACTTTAATCTGAGAACTCTGCTCCCTTTGTGCTCAGTCTCAACTCCCACTTTCATAATTATTTTCATTTTGGATAACTCATAAGAGAAGTTCCTTCTGGCTTAGTGTGAAATAGGAATATTAAAGTACTTTTACACTGGGTTTTAGCTTCATGTATTAATGCTTTGCACTTATTTGTATCTGTGGATAGACCAAAAGTTCTATGGGTGGATGACAAGGCCCCTCACCCTTGTTCACCTTATTTACTCTTATATTTTGTTGCTTCTGGGATATTTTTTTTTGAGGCAACAAGCAACAATGTTTCCTTGAACTTTGCAACTCTATAATTGGTCCTTATTCCTCAGTCATTTATGTCTTCATAGGCTACAAATTCAGGCCAAAGTTTTATACAACCCTCTTCTGTTAGGAGTAGGTTTTTTCGCCTGCCGCTTGTCTTGTTCTGCCGCCATGCCAGCCCCAAATAACACACAGATACTCTGTATTTGATATAATTTTGTTGGTCAGGTACTAGTTTCTTATTGGCTAGCTCTGTCATAAGTATTAACCCATTTCTGTTAATCTAAGTATTTCCACGTGGTTTCATCTTACCGGGGAATGGGCTGGCGTGCTCTCCCCGGTCTCTCTATTTTGACTCCTCCTTCTACTTCCTTGAATCCTCCTTCTCTCCTAGTTCCACCTATTTTGCTTTCCTATTGGCAAACAGTGCTTTATTCATTAAACAGTATTAGAAACATATTTACAGAATGACATCTCCCATCACTCATCCTAGCTATCTCTCTGGTCCTCTGTGTCCTTTTCTGTCATTTTCCAATCTCTGAAGACCCTTGTAATTACACTGAGCTCATCTCAAATAAGTTAGAATAATCTTACTTTAAGTTGCAATGTAAATTTCTTCTGCCTCTTAATTTACCACTGCCATATAATTTTACATAAGCACAGATTCAGGGTTTATGGTGCGATATTTTCAGGTCGGGGTACTGTTCTTCCAATACTATTATAATAGGGCCTGTTTCAAACAAGGTGGGGGTGAGAACTGACACCCAGGATTGTCCTCTGACCCCCACAGTCCTTTCACTCACACACAGACACCAGAGACATCATACTTACACAATAAAAAACAAGCTCCTAATGAATAGAATACAGTGAAAAATTACAAAAAACAAGACTCAATTAAATAAGTATCTACAATCATTAAGCTTTTGAAATGTTACATGTATGTTATATTTGGTTATGTCAGGAAGGAATATGGAAATTTTAGTGCCATCTATTGGTACAGATTTTAAAATAAGGGTTATCCCAGCCAGCTAATGAGTCTGTATAGTATATAGAGTCCTGAAGGTTTGTGCTCACTACAAAGAGAGTTTGAGAATGCATTTTGTGTTTTTCTTCTCCAAAGCAATTTTGATCTTTTTAAAAATGTTATTATTATTACACTGATGGATTGTAGAAATCTTGTTTGATTTCAGGTTTCTATGAAGATTGGGTATGCAAGGGGGATATGTGGGTGTCATATGAAATGTGGCTGAAGTTCAGAGAAATAGGTTTTATTTAATAACTAAAGACTGGCTGGCATTCCTCTCCACCCCTTCCACTCCCCCCCCCCCCCGCCCTCTGATGACTCACCCTTGAGCAATGGAAGTGCTGGCTGCATGAATCCAGGAGAGGCTGCTGGCCTCAATGTGATTTTCCAGTGATCTGTGTGCTCTATGGCTTCCTTCATAACCACCAAATCAATTCCCACTCTACGTATTACACACCCCGGTGGTAGATGCCATTTATAATCCTTTTGATGGTCAGACTCTTTGTACATAACCAAGAAAGATTACAGAAGGGCACACTGGTGGAAATGCACATGGAATATTCCACAAGGACATGGCATCTTGTAACATGCATTGCATGTTCACAAGCCCAACAAAGGAGCTCTGGTAGGGCAATTGTAAAACATGGAAGCTGGGGTCTGTTGAATGAAATGCATTGTTGAATGCTATCTATAGAGACAGTTGTGGGTGTTGTTCTTTTTAACTGTGCATTGAGATTCAGGTGCAAACTCTAGAGCTGCTGTATATTGTGATAGGGATATCAGTTATAACACTATGCCTCACTAGCTTCTCTCACTAATAAAATGTAATTCCTTACTTTATTGAGAAGCACCTAGCACCACCAATTCTTTTGCTAAAACCAAATTTCAAGGCTTATAAAATTTTAAGTACCAGATGATTAACTTTTCCTAAATTCTTTGGATCTACTTGCATGGTTGCCGCCATTAAATGAATGAAGACTAATACAGATTTCTATTAATTCAGAACAAATAATTGAGTATTTTGAATGGCATACGAATGAGTGGATCTAATGTAACCTTGCTTTACTTTCTTTTCTAAATAAAATGTCTGACAAAGATTTGTTTCTAGGTGTGAGTGGGAATTCTTAATTCATGAAACTTACTGGGAGTGTGGCTGTGGGGCAGTTTTCTGTGCATAAGGACTCAAACTGCTTAGTCATTTCTGTCAATGGAAAACAACAATGGAAATTTCCACTCATCAAATAAGCTTCCGTCTTTTCTGTTCTGCATCATTTGAAGCTTTCTAGCTTTCTGCAAACAACACCATGTGAAGCCTGCATCTGATTTCTCCTCCCTTTGAAGAGGTGAAAGGAAACGGTGATGGTGTAATTAGTGAAAGAGACCATGTGTAGAATATTTTTGCTTGAGTGGTGTAGAAAAGTCTGGGTTTCATTTCTCATATTGGAAAGACTATTCTGGGGCTCTCTTATAAGAGACACCAACACAGACACTATCTCTTTCTGTCAAGCATGAAGGCTCCTAGCTCTTTCTCTCTCTCTCCCTCCTCCCTCTCTGTTTTACATGGATATTTTGATTACAAAAGACCTGAGAATGTATTTTAAAAGTGTTATATAAAAATGCTTCTTGACTTGGAGGGTGGGTACCTAAGGTCTTAGATTTGTTCAACCCACTGAGCTATGCATATAAAATATGTATAGTTATGATATTTAAATCATAAGTCAATATTTGGACTTTCAAAATACTAATTAGATCCAGGTGTTCTAAAGTTAGCTAGGCATAATAGAAAATTTGTGGTGACTCTCATGCAAGTTGTTGAAGTTGTAAGGAGCAAGGTAAGCCTGTCCTTGCCTTTCACCCTGAACACACAACATAGGGCTGGATTGCAGAGGTGTTCACAAACATGGATGAAATTTGTGATGAATCATAGCACCCACCTCTAATCTTAAACTCTTCATTTATATTCCGTGTTGTGTGTGTGTGTGTGTGTGTGTGCGCGCACATTCAGACACATGCTCTATTTCTTATTTCACTGTTATTTGTTTGTTTGATTGAAAGGCATGCTCAGTACAAAAGTGGGTAATGGTCTACTTCCCCATGGCAAAACACTCAGGGAAATGTAAATTTCAGCTTTAGTACCTTGTTAGCCTATGAGGACCAAAAGGGCACAGCTATGTCCCTTCTTGCTGATATTCTATTGTCAGACTCATGTTGCCATGGCTTATCTTTTCTTCCCATGGCGTGATTGTCTTTGTATTTGACAGTCTTCAGACAGCAATGAGATATTTATTAAGTGAAGTCTTTTGAATTGTATCCATGGAGTCTACACCTTTCTATTTATTAATAAATTCTTTATTTGAATCTGTATTTGTATATCTTAGTGTTATATGAGTAACTCGCTTCAGTTTCATAGTTCATTTTTACCTATTTGAAATATTTCATTTTATACAACAGATAAACCTAATTTTATCACATTTGATTTGTTGGTGGTGGTGGTGGTAGTGGTGTGTATGTGTGTGTGCCTGTGCGCACATGCATATACAGGTATGTACATGGATAATCAAAGGACAACTTTTGGGAGTTGACTCTTTTATTCTACCATGTGTATCTCAGAAACCAAACTCAGGTTGTCAGGCTTGCTAATAAACTCCCTTGCCCAATGAACTATCTCATTAGTTCCAATAAATAATCCAACTTAAGAATGAATGCTATTTATTGTGGACAGGTGAAACAAGAAGGAATATACTTTAGATTTACATTTTTTTCCCAGAAAAATTAAATTTATTATTTATAATAGCTCCTTCCCATGTTTCATGACATAGGCATGTAGCTCAGTAATGTGTATATGTACATTGCTAGACATCTGATTTCAGGAATGTTTCAGTGAGTCATTCCACAGCAAGAAGAATTGTCCTTCTAGACACCCACCGTTCAATACTTGCTTCCCCTGACTTTAATTGCAACAGAAAGGTCATGTAACAAAATCCTGCCCTTTTGTGACTTGGTTGCTTCTCTTTAACTATCATCAAGGTTCATTCATGTTGTAGCATGTGTCAGAGTTCCCTTATTTATTTTATGTTAGACAATATTTTATTGCATGTTATCAGATCTGTTCCCTTCATTCATCAGTAGGCATTTGTGTTGCAGCTATGTCTCAGCTGCTGAAGATGCTACTGTCATGAGCAGGGGTGTGGTTATCACTTCTCTGCTCTGCTTTCAATTCTTCTGCGTATGGATTCATAATTGGGACTGGTGGTCCATATGGTAGTTACATTTTTTTTCAAATTTTGGTGTTATATATATATACCATACTGTTTTCCATGTTCCAGTTAGGACTCAAGAATTCTAATACCAATGCTTTTGATGTTCTGTAGTTTTGTTATTCTTGTTGCTTTTAATAGGCCTTGTGAGGAGGCTGGATTTGTGTCTCATGGTTTTCATTTACTTTACCCTAACTCACTTTTACCCATTTTATCTTCGGTCATCCATTGCAATGAAAAAGACCATAAATGTGTTTGTCTTCCAAATGTTTAGGAATATTTTCATCCAGTTCTATTCACCACCAGAGCACTTCCCTTTGGGGCATAGGACAAGCCCAGTATTTTACCTGTGATTTCTTTGTTTGCAGCTGCTCTTCCACTGCAGATGACTGTGGATCTGGATCTGGAGAGTTAGCAAAGCACCTCCACTTTGCATCTGTGTCCTTGTTTTCAGAACTTGAGTTAGCTCAATGGCAGAGCCAGGGCTTCTGGTACCTCCTTCTGCTGATGGCTTGTCTTTGGTTCCTGAGGCTCTACCTGCATTACCTGGGCCAGTGGCTTTTCCTCTGGGCCCTTTCAACTCCAGTTACAAAGTAAGTGCTTCCCCTGCAAGACAAGGGGATGTATTTTCATCTTGCTAGGACAAATCAAACTACAAAATACCTTTTCTTGTTCACTTATTAGAAGACCTCAAATGGAGGCCTGATTTGAAGAAACAAAAGAAGTCTTTACCTGAGATCAGGGGCTTTTATTATAGTTACAGCATCAAGCTGTGGTTGGCTCTGTATATACAAATACTTAACTCGTGCATCAATATTTATTTAAAATTCAGCACATTCAAATATGTCCTGATATCTGAGCAAAACTCAAGAAGGAATTTGGTAATGGTGCTTTTGTTCTATTTTGATTTTATAAGAGTGACGGAGGCTGGAGGTATTTCAGAAGTAATGTTAGTCTGATTTATTACCATACTCAGCAAAAGAAAGCTTGCTTCTTCTACAAAATGATTGAATTCAAACAATTACCAAACTCAAGCCCAGGCAGCTTTCTATGCCATTACCCTGTGGGGCGAAAATATATTGTAAAGGTTGTCTGCCTGTAAACATGATTCCATAGACACTCTAGATAGACAGATAGATAACAACACAAGTCAAATTCATTTTCTCCAATGTGTTGATGGTACAGATAGAAGCAGACACCTGTGACCTGTGTATAGTTTCCATTAATGATTATTAAGAATTTTAAGTCTGTGAAAAGAAATGCATATGCACACCATTTTTGATTCTCTTATGAAATGAAGTAAGATTTGGATATGTTATAGATATGAAAACTTGTATGTGTCAACAACTACATTTTCATGAAGTAATTCTTGCTTACATATCTTCACTATCTACCTATCTATCTATCTATCTATCTATCTATCCATCCATTCATCCATCCACCTATATCATATATGTATATATTTCCTTATTTTCCAAAGCAGAAAATACAAATGTTCTAGCCTGAGATAATTAGTTTTTATTAGTCACACTTTTACTCTTTATTAGGAGAGAAAGCCTTACCTTTGTTAGTTGTTACTCTAACAAGACAGCAAAAAATACAGTGATAGTAAACAGAGGACTTGAACTACTATAACATTTGGGGGACCTATTTTCTAGATTCACAGTTCTGACTCCAGGCCGTATCTCAGCTGTGAGCTATAGCAATAACACCACCCCTGATGAGTGCTTATTTTGTCAGGTGCCGCAGTAAGAAATCTATTTCGTTCTGTTTCATACCCATGACGACACAAGAACAAACCTAGTCTGAAGAAGTAGTAAAGGAGTAGATAACATGAAGACTTCTCTCCAATGGAGTAGTCAGGATTCTGACACAGTTTTACATGGGCCGAATTAGAGATTGATCTTTGCATGAACACAATTCTCATGTTGCAGGGAAGCATGATGTCCAAGTCACACTGAAGGCAACCCCGTTACTGGCTTGAATTGGATTTGATTTAACCCACAGGGCTTCATAGCCCCCTGCTATGAAATTTCAGTTGTTAGTGATGACTGTTGTTTTGATGTTGGAGTTGGTGTCATGCCAGGAAAGGCATAATCAGAATCAATAGGCGTCACCCAAATCCTGAAGTATTATTAGATTTATGTTTATCCTTCTTACAAGGCATCGACTCATCAGAAATTTCACTAATATACTTTGCCTTTAAATTTGGCCCACTAATATGTCCTGTGTACCACAGAGAAGTTCTCAATTTACAGATGACTCTACTGATTGGCTCAAATGACATGCACAAATCTGCTATTTTTTTATAAGAATAATAACTTGCATTTCTTTGATTTTGACCTGTCCTTGGGGTCAAGAAAGGTCAAAGACATCTACAGCTCAATTTCAGGTGCCAATTTGGGTCAAATATTTTGCATCTTTAATAAAGAAAGCAAAGCACGTGGCTATATTGATTGTTTTGCACATTGACCTTTGCCATATTCTTGCTGAGTGTCTGTGCTTTACCCCCCAACAGATTCCAGTTTTATTCCTACACCGTTGATCTCTGCTACTCCACGTCTTCCCTTCACATTGGAGAAGAGCTGGCTGTGATTGCACTGGGGCCTTTAGCTTTGAACACAATAACATTCCCCTTGCTTCTGATCAGATGGGGCTGTCAGCTCCTGTTCTCCTCCTGCCCGGATGCCTTGTCAAAGCTAATCATCACAATGGGACTATGGACAGTTCTAGACCCATTGGCAGTGTTTATAGTGGATACTTTCCTGGGGGTAAGTCAAGTAAAATAACCAAGATATGAATCCCTGGTACACAGTTCAGCACAGTGCATGACTCAATTGACATGGGCTGTTTCAATAATGATGTCATTCAGGATTCATCCCAAATTGAAGTTATTAAGACTTTCCTCATAAGAAAAAAAAAAGGATGGTCTTATAAAATTGATTTAAATGTAATTGTAAATATTGCAAATATATTAAAGATAAGTAGGAAATTACCTTGAAAATAAAATGCAAATTGGCTGTCACATTTTAAAATTATTCCAAAAGTCCTATGTTTTTTTTTTTTTTTACAGAAAAATAAACTTTTTAATAGAAAAAAAAAAACAAAACAAAAAACAAAAACTAAAGATGTTCCCTGACAAACTTCCAGGAAAAGAACTTTTATAATAGTTCATTCAGCGTGACCAGCTGCCTACCTGCTTTCTTCTGGGACAGCCTTATATAATAAATATAAAGCTGAGAGATGAGAGCTGCTGGAATATTTTGAAGTCATAACTTTGAAAATGTTACCCCCCCAGGCATTTCTTTTGTGATGCTTGAGAAGTGACAAGCACATTTTAACTTAAAAATACAGCCTTAGCATTCTGAATGATTCCTAGTGATGTGCAAAAATGTATGATGCTGCGTAGACAGACATGATTCCAGTACTAAGAAATGATTCTGTGCTTTTAACCATTGTTATGCAATTTCTTTGTTCTGTATATGTGTGGGCTGAGTTAGTGGGGTAAGTAGTGTCTCCATTTTTTTCAGTTGGAAAAGATAGTTACATAGAATTCTGGTGCTTATCTGGGTGATACACACAGCTCATGTTGTAGTTACAACTAGGACTCAGACTTCTGAATTCTAAGGATGGTATTTCTCTCATTACATCAAAATCTCTCCTTAATACTGTGAGTATATATATTGTTCTAGGAAATTAAAAGTGTGCACTTTTTAATGATAATTATTCAGTCTAAACAAACGTTAATTTTTTGATGGATATGACTATAATTTGATACCAAATTGATACAGTTATTATTGTGAATTTATTTGCCACATCCAAATCTCTTGTTGCTTTGAGTTTGTCAAGTATGTAATTTTCTGATCTATACTACCAAATATTTTCCCAGCACTGGGGATCAAACCCAAGGTTGTGCGCATAGTAGGCAAACATTCCACTACTGAATTATAGCACCAGTGTTTGAAGTATGTAATTCTTAATCTTTATTTTGTATCAGAACCTATTGCAGGTCTTGGTAGAAATCAAGCTTCTGGACTCTGCCCCACATTTCCTTCATCGATGAGTATGGGTGTGACATAGTTTTGTGCTTCTACCAAGTTCCAACATGATGTGGACCCTGTTGGTAGGGACCACAGTTTAAGACCCTGAAGTCATAGACACACAGGTGGCTCTGAGGAGCATACTGGGAGAAGCCAGGAGCAAATATGTCACTTAGATGATAGCATACAGGTTGCTCAGTGGTACATGTCTCCTCTTTCTGTCCATTATCTGGGACTCCAACCAAATAAAGACCAGCATCTTTATTGGAATTTCATTGAAATTTTCTAAAGTTTTCTATTAGATTATAAAAGTTCAATTGCAGATAGTGACTCAAAATGTGATAATTCTAACCAGAACATTCTTTAATCTGGAGGCAATAAAATTTTAAGCAATTTTAAAGTGAAAGAAGGGGAAATATAAATTAACCTTTTATATGTAGACAAAGTAATAATATAAAACATTAAACAAGGGGAAGGTGGCTATTCTGAATAATTTGATATGAACAATATTCATTTATAAGATTATATGAGGTCATGCATTGATGTTCTGCACACCATATATACCATAGGTACATGGGAAAGGAAGTTTCATAGCTGGTATTCATTGGCTTACTCTATATCACTATACTAACCAGATCTTAGTGTGTTGATAGGTTGTGCTGTTATGTCTGAAATTACTTCTCTAAATCACATGCTATTAAAATTAAAGTCTAAAGCATAGTTTATGATGCACTCCTTGGGACATTGTACACCTTGGGTGTCAGAGCAGGCAGCACAGCCTGATCTCCCCTTTCTAACTTTTCCTGGGCTATTCTATGCTATAGCACTGCTTCTCAAGTGTGCATTTTGTGAGCAGCCAGGGTTCTCAATTCAGTGTTCACTATGCCTCATTAAGAAGGGCCCAAGATACCATATTCCTTATGGTCTTAGGTTCTATTTCCCTGGACCATTGCTAGAGCAAGATGACACTAGACATGTTGTCAAGGGAGCCAGCCCTTTTCTAGGCTGAAGCTTCACTTGACTTGGGTTGCTAGTCTCCTCTTGACCAAACTAGCATCCTTGAGGCTCTGAGCCCACTGGTATATTCTATGTAAGAATTTTGAATACTTAAATGACCTCTGCTAATAAAGCTTAGAACTGGGCAGATGCAATTGTGGAAAATTACCACGTTTCAATCATTTAACATTATTAAAATGAACTTCAAAGTGCAGATTAGCCCATGAGTGCATTCAGGTCATCTTGTTGCCATGGACTAGAACCATGTGTGATTGACAGGCAGTTGTCTTCTGCGTTCATATGGCAGATGTGATTGCCTTCTGAAAGCTCAGAACCATTAGGCACCTTGGTGACATGGGAACAGAGGGAACTAGTCAGTAGTAAACTCTTTACATCGTCACTGATTTCTTTCACTATGGTGGCTACCCTCATTGTGATTCTGCGTGGACTGAGTTAGATCCAGATGGATTTTACTTGATTCTTGCTAATGAGTCTCCAAGCAGGCAAGGAAGACACTGCACTGTCAAGCCTGGTTGAATGAGAAGTGTAAAGACACCATCTGCATTATGGGAAGACCATATTCTGAAGTATCTCACAGTTCCTTCCAAAGGCCTGATTGGCATATCCAGCAGGCACAGTCCAGATGCTGAGCTTACTGCAATGCCACAGGGGAAGATAACTGAAAAGGATATGCAGCTGTCCTTGATAATCCTCTGAGTCCTCAGAAAGATGGCCTTCCTTATCCCTTAGGCAGATGAAAAGTCAACCAGTCCACTGTATACATGGCCCTGATGAAGTGAATATACATAACTGACTCTGATGCCCCCTATGAAATCTACAGAACGGCATCCTCCAGTCATCTCAGAATGACCTTACCCAGAAGAAGCTGACATGAAGACATGAATGCTAGGAAATGAAGATATTGACTGTATTTTGTTGTTGTTGTTGTTGATTATATATATATATATATATATATATATATATATATATATGTGTGTGTGTGTGTGTGTGTGTGTGTGTGTGTTCATTCTGCCTTTACAATTCAACTCTCCAACTAATATCTTCCAGCTTTCTCTAGTTTTTATCTACTTTTGCTGCTTTTCCTCGTCATGTAAGTCCACCCCTAGTAGACCCTACTTTCCAACACTGTTTCACTGAGGATTATATTCCCAACACATACTTTTTGGAGGCCGAATCAAATGATAATGCTCCCTTAAAAACATGGAGTGTTGGAGAAAAATTAAGGTTAAAGTTATGGGGAGCTATTCTCTGGTCTCCAGTCTGCTATTTATTATCTATATGATAACAAACAACCCAGTTAAGTCCTTCAGCCTTCAATTTACATGTGAGTACTTTGTCAAAGTACTAATACATATCAATAGCCACACCTACTGCATTCACCTCACGGTACTGTTAGGTGTAACAAGCGAGAAACTAAGTGAGACTAAAGTTGAAGAATTAACATATTTCACGCATAAATAGTGATAAAAGGGGCATCATGAGGTGATGATACTGTGCTGTGTGCTGAACACACAATGTAGAGGCTACTGTTTCAGACACAAACTCACAATCTGTATAGGGAATCAAACACACCCATGTTGAGGGAACAAAGTCATCAGAGTCCATGGCTTTTTTCTTCTCTTCTTGTAGATCTTTGCTCAGGTGCCTCTTCTTTAACTGTGATAATAAAAGACACACTTAAGAGGCTGGGTAGATGGCTCAGAGGTTAAAAGGATTGGCTGCTCTTCCAGATGTCCTGAGTTCAATTCCCAGAAACCACATGGTGGCTTGCAGCCATCTGTAATGAGATCTGGTGCCCTCTTCTGGTGTTCAGGCATACATGCAGGCAGAACACTGTATAAAAATAAATACTCTTTAAAAACAAAGCAAAACAAACAAACAAACAAAAAACTACCTGACTCTCCTATTACAGTTCAGGTCTTGAGTGTTCCCCATAGGCCCACATTTTGGAAGCATGTTTTTTTCTTTCCAGTCTGAGGTGTTATTGGGAGGTGATGGAACCAGAGGGAGGAAGTTAGGACCTATGGGGACATGACTTTGAAGGGGGTAATTGGGACCCTGGCTCCTCCTGGCTTTCTCCTAGCTGTCAGAAGGTCAGCAAGTTTGCTCAGGCATTTACTTGTCATGATAGGCTTCCTCATATCAGGCCTCAAAGCAGTGGAGCCTGCTGACTGTGGTTCTAAGCCCTGAAATCTTGTGCTAGAGTAAGACTTCCTGCCTTACAAGTGGATATCATGAGTATTTTGTAACAGTGACAGCAGCATATTGTATCAGCATTTCCTCACAGTATGTCATTTAAACTTCTTCGCATTTTTTTATTTTCTCTGCAGTGCTGAGGATTGAGCCATGCCTTAAGCAAGTCTTGCTGAGTTACATGCTAGCTACCTTGTGCCTTTTTAGTTTTGAGATGGGGAGTCTTATGAAATGGTCCAGCTCGATCTTGAGCTTACATTGTAATGTGGTCAAGCTTTGAACTGGCTTTGCCTCAGCCTCCTGAGTAGCTGGGATACAGACCTGCAATAAGTTTGCCTATGCTATTTAGGATAACACTCATGCTAACTATTGTTCCCACACACTTAAAAGAGAAGCTTGAGAGGCCAATTTCTTTGTTTAACTTTATTTTCTCTTATTTGAGCAGACAGACAACTTGTAGGCATACAATCGGTGAGAGTCAAATAATGATTGGCACCTACTGTTTAAATTATGTTATTGGATTCAAGCGTATGTTTTATTATTATTTTATCAATGTCTTTGTCATTAAGTAAGTAGACAGAGAACTAGAGAAGGAGTTATGTTTGACAGCCCTCACCCATCTGTTTCTCCAAGTGCTAGCAGTGAGTCCACCTTTTATCACATAGAACGATGAATAAACAGAATAAAACAGAGGCTTGGATGTGGTAAAGAAGCAGGAAGTTGATAGTTGGTCTTTCTGAACTCTAGTCATTGCCCAACTACCAAACAATATTTTGGTGCAGACAAAATACAGATTAACCTGCCTACTCTGTTTCATACATGTGTAACGAGTACGGTTTTTCCGCCTGCTGCCACCGCGCCAGCCCCAAATAATACACAGAGACTCTGTATTTGATACAATACTGTTGGCCCGGTTACTTGTTTCTTATCGGCTAGCTCTGCCTTAATTATTAACCCATTTCTGCTGATCAATATATTTCTCTTACCGGGGAGCGGGCGGCATACTGCTTTCTTCAGACTCTCCATCTTGACTCCTCCTAACTACTTCCTATTTCCTCCTTGTCTCCTAGTCCCTCCTAGCTTCCTTTCCTATTGGCCAACAGTGCTTTATTATTAACCAGTATGAGAAACATATACAGAATGACATCTCCCATCATCTCCTCTTTTTTGTCTAAATAAAAAGAAGGGTTTTAACCTTAACATAGTAAAATATATCACATAACGGTTATCAAATAAGAATCACAGTTAGCACTATTTAGTCCATTAACATTCAGTAAGATTTGAAAAAAATATTTTATCATCTATTTTATCTTTGTGTGTCTAAAGTCTAAGTAACTTATCTTTAATCCTAACTAATGAAAACTATAACCATAACTACCTGTCTTCAACTCCTTTAAAGACCACAGAAGGATAATATATAAGCTCTAGAAATGACAGAAACAACTCGTTGCCTGGTCACCCGAAGTTCTTTTGTAATCTTTCATCTTCAGCCCATAGGCCATAGTGTGTCTGGCAGACTCTTCAGCAAAGCAGGAAACTTTAAACTGTCTTCTTGTATTGGCAGTTTGTCAGTCACTTTTCTCTGTGTCCTGTAGACTGTCTCGCAGACTCTTCCATGAAGCAGGATCTCTGTAGCAATGTCCATCTTGAATCAGGAGTCACTTTCCTGTGGGTCCTGTATGTCCAGTTTATACATCACAAAGTCAAACAGTCCAGACAAGAGGAGTATCTTGTCCAAATGGCTAGTCTTGCCATATTGGAGGCAAACTCCATAATGTGTTTCTTTAATGTCCATCTTCCTTTTTGACGCAGGTGGTGTTACCAGGAGCATTTATGTCTCATTGTCAAGTAAAACCCTAAACCATTTTAAATGCCATATTCTGTAGGTCTTTGAAAGGTTTGAAGAATTCCTATCTATCTTAAATACATCTCTGTGTATCTTGAAAACCCTAACTAAACTCTAAGCTTTGGCTATCATAGGTAATTATCTATAATCTGTACTATATTATACATTACATTTCTAAATGAGCTATACAAACAAGAGGAGAAATATACATATGACAAAATTGACCTTAAATTGTATCAATAAATGAAAATCCATTCCAAAACAATCTATGCATATCTATACCATAATTCCCTTTTTACCTTTAAAAAGATATTGGTTATGATCCTTAACCATTTATAACCAAGTCCATTTAAATGAAAACAAACATTTATAAACAATATTTGGGAACTTGGGTGTCGTTCTTTCCAAACTACTTCCTGTTGATAGGGGGCGCTGTCATGGGGGATCCTGAGAAGACGCAGGAATCCTGGCTGTAGTCTGTAAGGTTGTTTTGTTTAAGTTGTTTTGAATGTTGGATCACCAGCCACTCTGTTTTAGGGGACCTGGCTTGATCAAAGCACATTAGTCTGGAAGGAATCCACAGCTTTTTATTTTTTGTGGAAACAAAAATAGAAATCCTTTTCCCCAGCAACTTGTCCTTGAACTTAAATGTTGGACTCAAAGCATTTTTAAAATATATAAATTGAATTAATACAGCAGCATTTTTTATCAGTTGTTGTTATTTTTTTTAGCAGTCAAACAATGTAGAGACAACACAATAGTATACAGTAACCAGATTCTTTCTGAGCTTTTTATCTTTACGTGGCTTTATTATTACTCTGTTTATTTTACTTTTATTTTTTTATTTTTTGACATAGGGTTTTACTGTGTAACTCTTATCTGTCCTGGAATTTACTCTGTATACCAGGTTTACTTTGTAAATCACAGAGATCTGCTTGCCTCTGTCTCCTGAGTGCTGGGATTAAAGACGTGTGCTACAACACCCAGTTTTTCTTTGTCTCTTTAAAACCATTTTTTTTTTATGTCTACATATATTTTAAAACACACTGTAAACCTTTAGAGGTTTTTCTTAATATGAATCTGTCTTTACTGTGATTTGGATTACCTACTCTTAAAAGTGTCTTTTAAAACTCTGTTTACATAATTGCCAGTTTAAACACCAAAGAAATAGTTTTCTCTCAGCTTGAAGAAAAGATCCCTACTTTAGAGTGATCATCACTTTTATTCACTGGATACCATGGGAATTACAACTGAGGGACATTCAGATCAGTACAATGCAGGGGTCAGTGATGTCACATAATTACACCACAGGTTCTTTGCAATATACATGTGTCTTTAAAGACCTATTTACTTTGCACTTAGTTATAACCCAGTATAGAATATGTGTTTCCTCTTCTCAAATCAGGGTGTGTTTTTAAATTAACCTAGTGTAAACTTTAGTTTTCAAGCTCACATTAAACAGCTTGATAACTTTTTTATAAGTTTCTAAAATAAGCCATCCCTTTTATGCATAGCACAAATTAAATTCCTATCAAATCCGCCTCAGAAATAAAGGAATCTTTCCACCATCACATTTAATTTCTTTATATCTTGTGCTCATTAAATTCACGAGTTAATAGCACATAAATAAAACATGCCTTTTGCTTCATGAATTGCACGTCAAGTGCATGCACATTCAAGCCGTGGAAGGGAAAATGAGAAAAATCTGCTAAACAAAGCACGCAAAACTCAGCCTCCTTTCCTTTTTCTTTGTGCAATTTTCAGTCCTTACAAGATTTAATTTAGAAACAAATTATGGTACTGTAGAGTTTCATGTCTTTAAATTAATCTGACATGATGATGTCCTCATCCTTATTTCCATCCATGCTTCCGTTCCTCAGCGGCTTTCACACAATGGGGAGACTCCTATCGCAGATGCAGCTAAACTCTACTGGATGTTTGTGAGAACCAAGCACCCAGCCATCCTCGGTGTTGTGATCACAGTGGCACTTTACACTCTGCTGTTTGTCATCTCTTCCTTGATTTTGTACTTGTATTGCCTCAGGTAAGATGCTCCCACTGCTATGCTTTTCAGCTTGTGGTCCTGAAGTTGAGGTAGGAAGGGAGGGAGAGACATAGAAAGGCAGGAAGGGAGGGAAGGAGGGAGGGAGAAAGAAAGGAAGGAAGGGAGAAAGGAAGGAGGGGGTGGAAGGAAGGGAAGGAGAAGCGATTAGAACCATCTAACTAGTCACATAGAAATTCCTGTGGTTATGTACAATTCTTTTCATGCAAAACAGAAAAATATTACTTGACTTTGGGAGAAAATAATTTTGCTGTGGGTCATTGTTCTTGTTTTTCTAGAAAATGGGCTAACAGAAGCCCAGAGTAATTCCTTTACATACAAAGACATTCTAGGAAATTTCTAGGAAAGTCACTGACAATTCCTTTCCCCCTCCCATTTTTTTGTTTTTCTTTTCTTACTTTCCATCTGCCCAAACATCACCAAGAGAGGAATAGTTGTACACCTCTATTCATAAGTATTCAGATGATCTGGTGTTGCCAGCTTGTCATTTAAGAAGGCAAAGTGTGTGTGTGTGTGTGTGTGTGTGTGTGTAAGCATGTGCACATGTTCATGTACATATTTATTAGAAAACACCATAAAACTAGTATATACAAGGAAGTCAAAGATGCTAGACCTGAGTTTCATTTCACCACTGTTTCTCATGCTGTAAAGTTGTTTTCCAATTGGACAACCTGCTTCAAAGCTACTTTCAAAGCCATATGAAATGCCTACAGGGCTTCTGGCACCAACTCAAATCTATGAATGTATTGCCATGATCAATGTCCTGGAATTATCCCTTTGGGATTTTTCTATTTTTGTAGATTTAGTTGTAAAAATGTCCATTTTGCATGGATATCTGTGCCTGGTGTAAAATGGAGGTCCGTTTCCCTCCTTTGCTTTTGAGTATGTTACATAATAAAGAGGTCAAACTTCCTGGATATATTTGTCAGATTCTGTGCAGATCAGCTAAGCACTTTGTAGTTATTGCTGGCTCCTCTATTCAGATGTAGTGATCCAGGCCTGTCTTTATACTGATGCTCTAGAAATTACTGCAGCTTTACCATATTGCCCACCCATATCCAGAAGAAATAAATCTCCCAAATAGAAATCATTAGAGCACCATATTATATTCTTACTAAGTGTTTATAAAAATGAAGTAAGAAATATTTTAATTATCTAGATTACTCCACTTTTGGAGTGGAGTGTTTAAGAAACCAATGCAAGTCTGAAGATGGTGTAATAGCTAAAGACTTCAGTGGAAGTCTGAGGTAATCTTTGATACTTTAATGTGATTTGACTAGAAGAAAACAAAGGCATGCATAATTTAAGGCAAAAAGAAGAGATAAAGGTCACTCAGTTTTGAGGAATTAGGAAACAATTTTGTAGAGTCAAAATATTGCAGCATGACCAGAGTTGGATGAGCTTAGGCTGGAAATGTCACAGATCATGTGGTTAGAGGCATCTTTCTTTCTCTTTGTCTGTGCTACAGAGTTTGGATTCTTCTCTGGAAAAATAGAGGCTGTGAAGGACTTTCATTTTAGGAAGATCATTCCACTTGTAGAAAGAGGGTTTGGACTTAATAGCAGTCAGATGGGAAGCAAGAAAAACTTATTTAAAAGTAACTGTGTTTATCCAAACAAGGAATATCCAAACCTTAATCAAAGTGAATGACAGTGGAAAGGAAAGTAGTTCACTTAACAGATTAATAAGGATCAAAATAGAACTTTGGGACTGAGTTGAAAGGAGAAGATAAAAACGAGGACATTATTTCTCTTAACTTTAAATTTTAGAAGAGTAGATAGGAGTGGCTGTAGCAACACATAGATTATTTGAAAACATAAAATGTTTAAGGAAGTTAAATTTCCATTCAGATTGACTTTAATGTGTGTGTGTGTGTGTCTGTGTCTGTGTGTCTGTGTGTGTGTCTGTCTGTGTGTGTGTGTGTGTGTGTGTGTGTGTGTGTGTGTATGCTTGTGTATTTATAAGTGCCACCAGAAGAATATGTCTGATTCCCATGGAGCTGGAGTTACAGGCCATTGTTAGATGCCTGATGTGGGTTCTGAGAATTGAACTCTGCAAAAACAGCAATGGTTGCATCATCTCTCCAACCCCAACCTTGAGATACTTTGTTGTTCCCAGTTCTGGCTATGAATTTGCCTTATTGCAGCCTTGAGTTTCAGTGCATGGAAGGAAGTACATTACACTGTAGAAAATATTCTCAATACAGTATGAGAACAAATGGTCAATGTTTGCCTACTGTTTGTTACCTTACAAAGCTATATGGAAATGAATCATACAGAAATGAAAGCTATACAGAAAACAAATTTGGTGTATGTGGATGAAATTTAAATATATTTCTATGTGGAAATCAAAATTTCACAGGGATGAGAAATTTTTTGAACACCCAAGCAAGGCAGATGACTAAAGTATCTGAAGATACAAGCATAGCACCGGTGCAGACATCTTTGCACTTTGAAGATAGGTGTTGGTTCATGATGTGAAGGGAAGTGAAGGAGGGGTGAATTGCTGATGCTTGGAGGATTGGAGCAGATTACAGAGGGAGTTCTCATATGGCAGTCATTGCTTGAGGAATGAAGCTACTGCTTACATTTCCTTTCAGTGGACTGACCATCCTCTGATGTGGCCCATGAACATGACATGGGTAAAAGTCCCAGTTCTTCAGGGGGAATTGGGTTGTTATGACCAAGGGCTAGTTTGGATTTTGACATGTCATAAGTGCTGTATGTCATCTTTTTAGGCCACTTATTTTCTTGTGAAAAGGAAGAAATCTTCCCTGATCATTCATTTTACATTTGAGCACCCACATGTAATGTGGCCCCAAGCAAAGCTGTTTACTTGCTAAATAAGAAGAATTCTTCTCATATAACATGGTAAAATACAACACACAAGCATGTATTTTGTAAGAAGATACACATGAATAATCACTGTACTATTTAAAATGAGTACAGTTCCCAAAAAGTAAAGAAATAAAAGAGTATGTCATGGAATTTACATATCTGTGATTTTAAAAATTACAAGATAATACTGCATATAGTTTCTTCTCACATCAGTGAATGTCTTCTCAGTTAAAATGTTACAGCTACACTCTTCATCTGACATCAATATTTTAATTATCTAGATTACCCATGAGCTATAAAAAAGTCAGCATAAAATTTATACACCAAATAAATAGAATTGGCTTTGCGATCTAAAGCACAAATATTGCCCCATAGAGAAGTAAAGGTTGGAGGAAAAGGAAACTCTATAACAGATGGAAATTGATAAGGGGAAAGGACAAGCTGGATGGATTATGTGTACCTCATCAATAATTAACCTGGAAGAATTCATCTTAATGAACCTTAATGCATTTTCTTAATCCTACTCTCCATTAGCCTCTATGCCTAAACTAATCTGTTAGACCTGGATATGCTCAGAATTCCTAAATAGGGCTTTACTTACATTGTACAAGCCAATGTTTTAGAGTAAATAAGTCAAACTAGTGCATTAGCTGAACAATCTCTCCTCACATCATTTCAAAATCACTTCCTCTGCAATGGCATTGTGCTGGGTAGACCAGTTGTCTAAAGGAAGTACTGCCTACAGCAGAAACATGTGATTAGTAAATTTGAGGATCTTGTTGTTCTTTTGTTTTATTTTTTTTCTGACATAGATTTAGTAAATATATGCAGAAATCTTAAGAACTTATCTTAGTAAAAGGTGCCAGTGAAGATTGGTGCATTATGACTGATGGACTGATAGGGTTGACATCTGAACTTTTGGTTCAGGACAATCAAAACAATACTGATAACAGGTGGAATTACAGGAGCACCAAAGAGAAAGACTCAGTGTTATTGGCTGTTGACAGAGAATTTAGTTTAGCTCTGGGCATTTGAAGCTCTTCATGGTGGGGACTTGACCCTGATGAGATTGCATGACTGGCCCTCATTTCTCCAAGAGTCTGAAGGGTTTGGTACTGAAGGGTTTCAGTGGCAAAGGAATTCCAGTTCTTCATGGTTATGATGAGAGAGTTGACTGAAGAAAAGTTTTGATTCTGGCCAAGACCCTTAAGAATAAGCACAATTGTTTGGCTTGATTTTTTTATTTAAAAAATAAGCATTTTTGTTTTTAATGTTATTTTCCTTATTATTGATAGAATAAATGCTATATAGACAAAATAGAAACTTAAAAAGAATAAAAGAGTAAATTAAAGGCCAAAATAATTTGATCATCTACATGAAGAAAGCACTGTTAAACTTTGAAATATTTACTTCCATCTTTTGTGTCCTGTGTGTTGAATTTTATAAATAAGTAATTGTTCATCATGAAGACAGTACAGGCATTGACTTTCATCTTAAATTATGATAACTATTTTTATATTCTTTACATATTTTTCAAACATTTAATGCCTATACATTTTTTCACAACATGCTTTATAAGAAGTATAAAGTATTTACATATATTTTATTGTTGGATAATAGATTGCTTCATATTTTTTCTGCATCTTATAAATAATTCTTATTGGCTTCTGAAAGCACAGAGCCTTACCCACATTTTAATTAGTCTTTGACTAGGATCCTGGAAACCACCATATACTGGTTTAGGGGATAGAACATACAGAAGACATTTGATAACTATGGAGGAATTTTCATCTAAGGAATTTTCATGTGTGTGTGATTCTGTAGCCAATAAAGAGTTCTAGGAGAGGCCAATCATTGCATGTGTTCAGAACATTAATAGAAGCACCAGAACCCTATTAGTTTTTTTAAATGTGCATTCCTTTACTTACTAAATAATCTTGATATGATTATTACTCATTCATTCCTTTTAACATTTTCTGAATTGCTCTTTAAATGTCCCTTTTGTCTTTCTTCTGTATGTCATTCAAATCTTTTGCTCACTCAGTTATGATCCCACACATAGTCACAGTAATAACCCTTTTTTATAGTTTCAGCAGATATTTTCTCTACTTCCCAACTTGTATTTGACTTTTAAAATAAAAATAT